CAGAGGAGGGGTGACCAACCTTATCTGCGCTAAGGAACGGCTTTAGGCACGAGAATATGGTTTTAATCCAAGCCCCAGGAGTTCCCAGGGGTGAGACCAGCGGTGAGATAATTACTTCGTGCAGAAAGCCAGGATGGGGTAATAGTTGGATATCACTATCTTTATTGTAATCATAAAGCCTTGCGGACGGACAGACAGACACCGACAAACTTACAAACCTACATACAAGTTTCTGCTTTATAATAAGGGAGAGATCAGTAGTCGGTTTAAGTTGCACTTGGTTTAACTAAATAAAATAAAGCGATTATAAAATAGATGTTTAGGGTCTTTCCGTGGTCCCGTCACCTGCCACGCGGTAAAATAGCAGAAATTCATTGCTTAATAGAAGAAGCACAGTATAGTATAAAGCAAACAAAAGAAGAATCAGCCAATGTTCACCCCCAAATCTGGATGTTCGGGTACTCAGAGCGATTCACTAAATCACAAGTCTCGCTCGTTATGAATCAAGAGTGGCCAGGTATTATTTCCAAGGAATCTGGTAAGTTCGCAATGAGCAGCAAGAGAATAAGCGCGTAAGATTAGAAAGTGATATAGGTGAAGACGTTTGCTTTAGGTAATGTATCTATAGTGTTAATACATAGCCTGCTTTTGTTTTCTTATAAAATCGCCCTTGAAATATTCTGATTCCTCTCACAATCAGATAAGCGCGCTGATGTTATGGGATAGAGCAAACTCATCGCTCTACTGAGCTCGCGACTCCACAGTTTTCGCGATCGCGATCGCAGAATTGTCATATACAAATCAAAAAAAGGTGAATTGTTGATGACATGTTCTCAAAATTTATGCTAGCTCTTGCCCAAATATTTTTTCTTTGAAGGAAATACCCTCTAAGCTATTAGGAATTCAGCCTGCTTCGTTTTTTTAAAGAGTTTTCAAGTTACGGTCCGGGTGGCATAAATGTTACTAAATGCTACCGATGTTATCGATGTCAGTTAATTAAATTAGTTTTTGCAAGGAATGATTCTGCTTCTCTGCTTCAGTATCTTTCAAATTAGATCCTTTTTTCGAGCCGAAATACCCAGTAAAGAACGCCATCCTTTAGTCATTCCACTCAAGAGCAAATCTACAGCACGTGATCCTCTTAGCTGCTGACGCACAAGCACTATT